CTGCCCTCATCAAAACTTAGCGAACAATTGCAACCGTTACTAAGGAAATGGAACATCAAGGAGAAGAAAACACTTTTCATCAGTCTGCCTACGGATCAAGGAACATCAAAGACTCTGCAGGAACATGGATACGAAAAGATCCGAAATAGCGGAGCACATTGCGCGAACGGGGCACGGAATCGAATGAAAATCGACCGAAATGTTTTTATGCATGTAGTGAAGATACAAGAAAACGCAAGATCCGAGAGGCCATCGAAATACTGACCGAGAGAGATCTAATGAACAGGAGACTTGAATAAGGCAGGATCAGCGAAAAACTTTGCATATTGCCTAAACAAACTCGGAGAAGACCAGGCAACAGCAAGATCAGCAAAAAGAAGACGACTAGATCAGGTAATATTCTATAATTTTAGGAAAAGAGATCGTAGGGGGATGAGAAAGGAACAATCAGAAGCCAAAAGGAGATGTCTTCAGTGAGCCTTCTTAAAACAAGTAGAACCATGACATTTATGGGTTGGCACACAAGGAACTAGGACGTAGGAAGCGATTGACATGGTATTACGGATAGAAACAGGAAAGATGCGGTGGAGACTAAAGCAATTTGGCTAACAATAGACGTGTTTGATCATAAACGTGATCCTTGAATCCCGACTATTGTTAGCCAACTAGTTCTAGCTTCTATTGTTTCTATCCTATTTCTACCTATAATAACAAGCCCTAGTCTCTTGTGTGCGAACCAACAAACGTTGTGGTTCAACATTGAACCTAATCAACGCCAGCAGTACCACAACATTTGTGGGTTGACACACAATATACTAGGGCAAAGCAAGTGATAGACTTGGTATTAGGGATAGAAACAGGATAGACACGGCGAAGACTGGAGCTAGTTGGCTGACCTTAGGTTGTACCAGAGACGTGGTCCATGTAGCAAAGGCGTGACCATAAGACTTACTCAGAGGCTTGAGCCTCGAATTAGTCACCCAGACGCAGAGGAGGGGGAATAACGTCTCGAGCAGCACAAATGTGGTGGCAGGGGTGGAGTGAAATATGTGAACCAGGGAGAGGACAGACGGATCTTACGGG